TGGCAAAAAGGCTGTTATACAAGATAGGTGTTATTGTCATTATTATCATTTCCATTTTATCAATAAGAAAACTGAGACACAGATGGTTAGATTATTTCCGGATCAACAACTAGTACTCAGTGAAGGCAGGGCTTGAATCTAAGCACGTGAATTTATAGAATCCAATTGAATCCAGATTTCAGCTAAAGGACAGAAGGGTAGAGGCAAAAGTTAAAGTCAAAATTCTGTTTGCTGAGGCAGGCATTTGGCTTATCAGTGAAGACACCACTTGAGATGCCTGCATTCCATTTCCAAGCACCTGTGTTTCCAATTCTAGCTTGATGCTAAAGTGTGCCCTGGCAGGCAGCAGGTCATGGGTCAAGTAGCTGCATTTCTGCTGAAGTGGTGGAGTGGATTATTAATTTTTTAGGCTCGCTGAAAGGTGAGAAAGAACATACATAGACTTGTGTATGAGTTGCCCCCACAAATATTTTTCATGAGTAGGCAGTAGACCCAAAGAAAAAGGGGCGTTAGAGGAAACAGCCCATATCCCTCAAGTACTGGTCTGCAGTGAGAGAGACACTTCTCCCAGTTTTTGGCTGCTTTTGTGAAGTTGGAGTGCAGGTTGGCTGCAGCCACTTGGGAGTTTATGGTACCTCCCTAAATCCCACATGGACTCAATATTCACTTCTGTGGTATCTTCCTCTTTTCCCTCCTTCCCCTAGCCCCGTGCCCAGGTATTGGATGAAGCAGATGCATCCTGTATCCTGGGAAAGGAGGGGTCAATTTGGTTGATGAGTAGGAGAATAAAATTCTGCATGGTGTTAGAGTAGGACTTGGAGCTTCCAGGTTAGAGACCTGAAACTAGTTGCCCCCCTCTCCCGCATCACTGCCACCCGCTGCCTTTCTAAATTCTGTTTAGGGAAACTCAGGTTAGGGAGACAGAGTTCTGGTTCTGACTTTGTCCTGGCCTAGCCCAGACCCAGCTATTGCAAGCTACCCCAGTGGCCAGCAGGTGGAGGTTGTCGGTGGTAGTAGAGAACCAGCGATGGGAGATCCTGCTCTCTGCCTTTGAAATAGATAATAAATAATGTTTTAAATTATAAATTTTGTTTTTTGTAATGATTACATGGTGGATCAGGGTGGGAAGGATCAAGGTTTGGAGAAAATTGGGTGAATTCACTGCTTCCAAATTTGCTATTACTTCTTGCTGTTCCTGGGGGAAGGGGAAAGACAAAGGGGGAAACCAGTAATGACTTTCCACACGTCCCAGTACCCAGGGATGAGGAACCACCACCTCATATCAACCCAGAGTCTCAGTGTGTACATATTCCAAGGGTCCTGTCCAAGTGGTTTGGAGAGTTCTGAAATGTTGCTGATTTCACAAATCTCAGGATGATGTCACCCTCCAATGTCCATTGGCTTCATTCATTGAGATTTTTTGCTGTCATCATTTGTTTTGGGTAGTTGTCCAGTTCTGTTTTCTTCTGCTGCTACAGCACCAAATGAGCTGCCGTATTCTCCTTTTACAACAGAGCCTGTGTCCACTGCTCCACCTTATTCATTACATAGGACATGTTCTTGCAGGCAAGTTCAAGGATCCAGGCCAGGCAACCTGAGCCCTGCTGAATCCCCCTCCCCTGGGGCTCACGAGCTTGACACCCACCTAAAAGGCAGGCCGCAGGATCTGGGCCAGGCAACCCAAGCCCCACCATTTCCACCATCCCTAGGCTCAGAAACCTGGCACCCACTGGACAGGTGGACCCCAAACTACTCGAACCCTGTCAGATCCCCCATCCCTGGGACTTACAACCTTGGCCCCCACTGAGCCCAGGCTGCTATGACTCACCTTACCTCAGCATCTACAATCTTATTGTGCAACGTGGCCTAGTCTAGTCTGCCCCCTGTTCCAGCTCCTACTGCTGGGTGCTGCAGCCTATCCCAGCCCAGTCTGATTGTTGTCCCAATTTTGATGTGAACTGGCTGATGTTGAGGCCTGATCTGACTCTTCCTGCCCCCTGCCCTCGATCTCGTTCTCAGATCTGCCAGTGCTGGCCCAGACTGGTCTGTCCCCAGGTCTGACCCAAATGTGTGCCCGCAGGTACTGTACCCTGGTGTTGTCTGGACTGCCTCTTGCCTTGCTTCTTGCGCTCACCTGCAGGGACTGCATCCCAATGAAGGAGTTTCCCAAGCTTCTCCATCGAGTCTCCTCCCTGTGGCAGTGGATCCTTGGCTCAGGCTGACTTTGTCCACCTCTTGCTCTGGCAATAACAGTGGCCTTGCTCAACCAGCCAAATACCCTGCCACAAAGCAGCCACACAACTAAGCTATAGGTACCTGTACAGATTAAAAAAAAAAAAAAAGAAGATAAATAATTTAAGAATTATTTCCACTACCTAATGTTTTCCATGTAAGAGAGAGATTATGCTCAGTGCAGATAGATAAGGCAGCTTTTGTTTTAACTTGGAAAATTGTTCCAATGCTCAGTAAGAATCCATGTTGTGGTATGGGGGTGAGGTGGAGCATAGCTTTCCTCCCATAGTCTTCCTCTCCTGTAATCTCACGCTTTTTCCCTGTCCCATGCACACAGTCCCCAGCATAATGTGGTATTTTCTCTAATACAATTTGCAAGGCACTGCATGGATGACTGCGCAAGTGTGGAAACACAAAGATACTCGCATCTGTAACCCAAAGTTCCAGAAGACACTGGGTTAGTTGGCTTTACCATCTTGTATCAGAAGTGTGTGTGTGCATACACGCACGCATGCATACACACATGTACACATTTCCTTGACTTGCAAGGCTGCTCGTTTGAAATGAAGTCCTAAAGAATGAAGAATAAGTGCTGTTAGCAGCTGTTTGCAGACCTGCTTGGGATGTGGTGCTCAGCTGGCTCACATGGGGGCCCGTGGGCTGCCATTCCTTTGACTTCTTCCCTTTCCTACTCTCGCCATGTTTCTTCCTTCCCTCCACTGGTAGGACCTCTGTCCTGGAATGAGGAGCTAAGCCATGGACGCTTACTGAATTCAGCCAGACTTCACATTTACTGTCCTCTTTCCCTGAATGGATTTCCACGTGAGTTGGCTACGAGGTACAGGCAGCCCGGCTATGTACCAGTGTGGCATGAATGGGTCATAGAGGAGTTGATGTGCATTTCAGAAAATAAGAAATGAAAAAGACACAAGCTAAAGACTATGACAGTGGTTCGCTATGCGGAAGCCCCTTTCCTTCTCTGACGTCCACCAAGAAGGGTCTCTGTCCGTTCTCTATTGAACTGCTCAGGTAGTCAAATTACAGGAGTTGATGTGGCACAAACGTTGATAGCCATGTCCCATATTGATGTTAACCAGGCTTTACAGTCAGGAGGCAACAGTGTGACCCAAGAACAGAAGTCAGTACGTGATTGTCTCAAGGATATCTTAAAGCACATAGTCCTGTGACCTTGAACTCTCACCGAGCTGTGGACCCTCACCCACAGGCTTTGGCCTTGGTCTTGGATTTCTACCCACTTCCAGACCATTGTCCACAAAGAGTGACCTCAGTCTTTCAGAGCAGCTGTGTCTGAACTCAAGATTCAGGCATAGGCTATCCTGTTCCCTGTTATCAGGTCACACTGTTATTTGTTTATTTATTTATTTATTTATTTTGCCAACTGCCTGAGGCAGGTTGATTCTCATGCTTTCAGATATAAAAAAATTCTCTGGCTTTCAGCAATCATACTCTTGTCCATGGCATCCTTGATGCAGTAGGGACACAGAGAGGGGAATGTGGTATTTGTATTTATGTGCAAGTGCTCTGCAGGATTTCCTATCTCCATTAATAACTTTAAGGCATATGGTCTAGAACCAATGGTTTCTTGTGTTTCTTCTTTTTCACAAATTGGAAAATAAAATTATTTATTATAGCTAGGTATTATAATTCTACTGTTAGGCTTCATGTCAATTTATGCACACATTTCTTGGAGGATTATTTAGCAATAAGGGTAATGTATATTGTGCCTGAATTTTAATAGCTATTTTGGGAAACCAGACCACAATTACCCTTGCATTACTTTTAAGTGTTAAAGATCTATTTAGTGGATTATATTTTATTCCATTCACCAAATTCTTTAGCATATGATATATCCCATGGGAAGATCAATTCTGTTTACTCATCGTTTCTTCTGCCATTCATTCAATGAACATTTTATTGACAGCTTAGTCTCTGCTTGGCAAGTTGCCAGGCATTGGAAATACAGGGGAACCTCTCCCCCCCCAACCATTATTTTGATGTTGATGACGCCTATTTCCTTTTCTAGCTCTTAGACTTATCTACCTAAGACTGCCTAAATTCAGTTTGGTAATTTCCCCTTAGTTCTACCACCCCGACTGGCAACCCACGACTTATGAAAAAAAATTAGCCATTTGGACTTGATTTCAAGTTGCTGTTGCCCATCTTTGCCTCGCCAAAGCTTTGCTGGGACTGTGAAGTTCAGCTCTCACACATCTTTCTCGGAAGAGGCTCCACCAGGCCAGCATGCGGGAAGTTGGTAATTTTGGTGGTGCTGGTGTGTGGGGTGGAGTAGGGGAGGAGAACGACCATTAATTATAGTTTCCTTGGCGAGTCAGCCAAGCTCAGGAGCAGATGCAGGAGAAGCGGATCAAGCTCTCTGCGCTTTGAAACCAAAATCCCAGGGAGGTTTCTGGCACGGCCAGGGTTAGGTGGAATGTCCTGTCGGGTAAGGTTTAGAAAGTAGATCTTGGCCGCTCTTCAACTCGCGGGCCTCGAAGCAAGGTCCCCGTGTCGCAGACCTGTGGCCCGCACCGGCTCCGAGGGTCTGGGGCCCCAGCACAAGGCGCCCCAGGCTTGGGACAGGCAGCGAGGGAGAGCACGGAAGTGCGCTGAGCTTTCCCCAGCCGGAGGACAACTCTCCGCCCCCACTTCCTCCTCGGGCTGGGCGGCTCAGCCTCCCGGCCGGCTCCTCCTCCTCCTCCCACTGCCGGCTGGGGCTCCCAGGCCAGAGGTGCGGCGCTGTGCGCAGCAGTCCCCAGCCCGAGCGCGGAGCGGCCAAGCGGGAGGGAGGCCGGGCCGCCCGCGCGGTCTCGTACCCTCCTCGCGCGCCCAGCACCCCGCTTGCCCAGCGGCCGCTCGGAAGCTCAGCCCGCCCGCCCCATCCAGGCGCCGTGGCGGGCTAGCCGGGAAGCGAGCGGCTGACAAGTTGAGGCGCGCACAGGCGGCGGGCCGCGGGCACCGTGCGCCTCGGGAAGGGTGGCCGCCGCTCCGGGCTCCGCACCCCGGGCGCACTTGGGCGATGGCTTCCCCGCCGCCGCGGCTGCGTCTTCGCCCTCGCCGCTACCTCCTGCTGCTGCTTCTCCCCGGGCTCCTGCTACCTCTCTGTGATGCCTTCAACCTAGACGTAGACAGTCCTGCCGAGTACGCTGGCCCCGAGGGAAGTTACTTCGGCTTCGCAGTGGACTTTTTCGTGCCCAGCGCGTCTTCGTAAGTGACCGCACTTGGACCGCGAGCCGGCCCCCTCCCCCACCGCGCTCACCCACCCTGTGTTCTCTTCCACCTCCCTCCCGCCCCCATCCCCCTCCGCCGCACCCCGGGCTTGGTCTTGGGGAGATCCCAGTGTCTCTCTGTCCCACTCTGCCCACCCCCGCGATGAGTTATCTCCTGGCTGGATGAAATATGCGAGGAAGATGAACTCCTAGGTGGCCACCACCCACTCAGTTCCTGGCCGCTCCCCACCTCTTACACTTGGTTGGGGAGCGGAGGGAGAGCTCTGGAGCAAACCTGTGTTTCGGAATGGTGCCCGGTGGGAATCAACAAAGGCTGGTTCTGCTTGACTGCGCGCCGAGGCTCAGGGTCCGTTTCATCTCCCAGCGGTTCATCTAACTCCTCCAGGACCAGGGAGCTTTATTAGGCTTCCCAGGCACAACGCCCCGTCCTCCTCGCTGTCCCTAAACGAATCCTTCCCTATTTTTGCTTCCTCTCGTTTCCCACACTAAAATGAATCTGTTATTGAAGTGCATTCACATTATCTTATCGCCGGCAGACCCTGGAGCGTTTAAAGTTGAACAGATGAATGTGTCATCCGCTGTTTTTATAGGGATGCACTATTTAAGTTATTGTTCAGAAAGAACAGGCTTCTTTCTTACTTGTTTATTTTCCCGAGTTTTCAGTCAGTGCAGTTCGTTTGCATGTGCAAAATGTAAAAACTCAGGTCTTCCAGTGGCCCACTCTTGGTGTTGCCAAGAGCAGCATGGTTTTCGAGTTATTGTCATTTTTGGATTGAAAGTTGCTTCTGACTTTGCTGAGCGCTGACATCATTCTCGCCGCCCCACCCCCACGCTCTCTTTAGAAATTCTGATTTAATGAGTACTCCCTGGATGTTTTATGATGTTTAAATCTTCCTTTCAAGAGAGAAGCTCTTCTCAGGGTTATGTCTAAATTCAGAACTTAGAAAAAATTTATTTCTTTGGAAGAGTTACACGAGGGAGAGAGGGGAAAAGGGGGAAGAGGGAGAGGAGACAGGAGGAGGATCAAAGAAGGAGGGAGAGAATCTTCATCACCAAGTCAACTCCCCCAAAGAGTGAGGATCTCAGGGCGGGACCAGAGGGAAGCCACTAGAGCCACCCTCCACTGCTACCCACGTGCATTAGTAGGGACCTGGATTAGGGGAGCAGCCAGGATTGGAACTAGTGTCCTTGTGGGAGGCTGGCTCTCCAGACCACAGGCTTACTTACCTTGCTGCAATGCCAGCCCCAAACTACATGTTGCTTATAGATGACATTCTTTATTATTATTTTTTTTGAAGTGGGATTTTCATGGTCAGTACTTACTTGAGTAGGACCATCTTCCTAAAACATGTGTGATTAAGTTGACAGTGCACTAAATGTTTTTCTGTTTTATTCAGCAGGATTTACTCTCAGCATTTTTCAGGATGTTGCCACAGCCTTTACAACAGCATATACATTGTATGTGATTAGTGCACAAACCCGGCTTGTATGTGTTTTGGTTTGTGTTTGGTAGCAAGTTCAGTTTGTGGCTACCAACAAGTGCTTCCTGTTCTGGGAAATCTAAACATGGATTTTTCAAAGGGATAAAAATAATCATTCCTTGTAGGAGGCGTTTGCCACCTTCACATCTGAACTAATCATTTAAGCCGGCCTTATTAAAATTGTTTTTCTTCAATATTTTCTCATTTTGTTTCTTTATAGGACAGAACATTCATGTTAGTTTTATCCATATGTTTCCTTTAAAAGGAACTTAAACAGGTATATTAATCATGCGTAAAGTATCTTTTGTTAAGTTAGCATGATTGTGCTGCCACGCTTTGAAGTTATCTGACAAGCTGATGGACTTTTAAGTGTTTTAACCATGGAAAATGCAATCATATTGAACTGTGGTTCCTGATTCTAAGGTCTGATTGTAGCCCTTCAGTAGTGCTTGGGATCATTGAACACACCGGCCTGATGTGTTTTCATGGTGGCGTCCATGGCTTTCAGTGGTAGAATTGAATGTTTTGTTAGTAACTAGGGAATCCTGCGTATAACCCCAGGGGAAGCCAACAGAGATTGTTTCCAGCATGGCTATGTACAGTACATGGATGCATACATCCATACATGTACAAAATATTTGTCCAAGGCTTATACTTATGGAACTTTTGTGCTTAAACAAAAACTACCATAAAATTATTCTGAATTTTGTTAAGAGTACTTAAATTTAACAGACATTGAGTCCAAAGAATATTATTGACAATATTACCAGCTGGATTTATGGTGGTTCTTGCTGTCTGCTGTTATCATAATTTTCTTAAGAGGAAAAAAACCCCATATAGTATAAAATTATTAATTAGAGTTATTTTCTTTTTTTCATGATTTATTATTTTTATTGGAAAGTCACATATACAGAGAGAGAGGAGGAGGAGAGACAGAGAGGAAAATTTTCCCTCGAATGATTCACTCCCCAAGTGGCTGCAATGGCTGGAGCTGAGCCAATCCGAAGCCAGGAGCCAGGAGCTTCTTCCAGGTCTCCCACATGGGTGCAGGGTCCCATTGCTTTGGGCTGTCCTCAACTGCTTTCTCAGGCCACAAGCAGGGAGCTGGATGGAAACAGGGCCTCTGGGATTAGAACCTGCGCTCATATGGGATCTCGGGGCATGCAAGGCGAGGACTTTAACCACTGCACAATCTTGCCAGGCCCAGAGTTCTTTTCTTTTGAGGAAGAGATTATAGAGGAAATAATGGTTATGAAATCTCTTCCTGCTGTGTCTTCCCCTTTAGGTGACCACATAATATGGGCTGTAGAGTTGCTTTGAGTTCTCATTTGCTTTTCATTCTAGAAAATTATTGTGTTTATCTGTTTTTGTTGGTTGTGAAAATGAATAAATAAATGTTTTGTAGGCAGAAAGAAAGATAAAGTAATAAGGGAAAAATGTAAGGGTGTCCCCTCTCGATTTCTTCAGACCTGTCTTAGGTTTGAAGCGAAGTGCTTTAAGCCCTGAAAAATGAAAATAGCATTTCATATTTTTCTGCAAATATTAATTTATGGTGAGCATATTTGTAAAGGTGCATACAATGTAAAGAGTGTATGAAGGCCGAAAATTCAAGTCATGTTTTCTTGTGGAAATAAAATTGAGAAATGTGAAATTGTATGTCAGATTTAACCATAAAACAGTATCTTATATTAATAAAACTTTTAAAAGATTTTTTATTTGTTTGAAAGGCAGAATTAGAGGAGGACAGAGATCTTCTGTCTGCTAGTCCACTTCCCAAATGGCTGTGGCAGTCAGGTCTGGGCGAGGCTGAATTCAGGAGCCTGGAACACCTTCCCCATCTCCCACATGGTGGGGAGGTGCCCAGGTACTTGGTTCATCTACTCCTTTTCCCGGTACATCAGCAGGGAGCTGGATAGCAGAGGCTTTTATGGGATGCTGATGAGGGCTAATCTCTGTGTCACAACATCAACCTGTTTTTATAATTCATACTGTTCTTTTGCTTATATCTCAATTCATTCTGTAGCACAAACCACCGAACAACTAGGGGGAAGCAGTTAAGGAAATTGAGGCTGGGTTAGAACTTGAGAGAGCAGGGAAAGGACCTGAGGATACTTTGAAATTCATACCCTCCTCCTTTTTACACTCAAATACTGATATATTTATTTATTTGGAAGGGAGAGAAAGAAATCTATCTCTTGGTTCATTTTCTGGGCAGACCGGGAGATAAGAACCGGACCTGGGTTTCCTATATGTGTGTCAGGGACCCAGTTACTTGACCCATCTTTCCCTGCATTAGCAGGAAGCTGCAGTTGGGTGCCAGAGCTAGGATTTGAATCCAGGCATTCTGCTTTGGTATTTGGTGTCCCACACAACATCTTCTTCACTACAACAAATGTCTGTCCCCAAATGTTGACATTTTAAGAAGAAAACAATTGCTTGGACCACCTTCTTTGTTTAATCTTCAAATGCCAAATGTTGCAGGATATAGTTCTCATTTTATTTGCTTATTTTAAAATAATACTATTATGAGGAACAGTGGGTTTACGTTCTTTTTTTTTTTTTCCTCCCTAAGATTAAGGTTTGTATTTGAGATGAAGGGTTAGGGAGGGAAGGAAGCAGTGAGGAAGGGAGAGAGGGAGAGGGAGAGAGGGAGGGAAATATCGATTCTCCTCTGCTGTTTATTTCCGAAAAGGCCTCAGCGTCTGCAGCCGGGCCAGCCAGGCGTCAGGAGCCAGCAGCTTATTGCAGGTCTCCCACTTGGGTGCACTGCTAACCCAGCTGCACTAGCTAGGAGCTGCACCCAAAGTGGAGCAGCAGGGAACCCAAACTGGGCTGTGCTACAGTTTGCCTTTTGTTAGTCATAAACGGAACGTTCTTTACAGCTCCTGTGTGTTTGTGTGACTCCCAAGGACACGTGGGGGGTCAATGTGCCTCCAAAATTGTCGGGAACTCTCAGCCCTCCTGTGGTAACACCTGTGAAGTTTCGCAGTCAAATTGATTCCCTGGCTGCATCGTAGATTTACCAGCAGAGCTCTAGCTTAAATTCCTTTGACTTCTTAGCTCATTTTAATAAAAGAACGCTTACATCCGTTACTGTTAGATGTACCTTTGTTCCCATTAACACTACCAATGTTTCTTTCTTTTCTTTTTTTCTGTTGCTCTGGAAATAATTTCATATTCCTCCCTCTCATTTTCTATTTTTCTTTTCTCCTCCTGCTCTCCTCTAATATTAGTCAGAGATTAGTCACCAGGCAGAAAGTCCTAGAAATCCTTCCTTGTTTAGGTTTTTTTTTTGTATCCACCTTCATTTCTCAGATCAACCACCTTATCAGCCACAGTCATCACAGCTGGCACCTGGACAACCACATCTTCCCCCCTGACTCCCCATTTCATCATTTTAGTTGAGACCTGAAAATATCTGTTTTTTTTTTTTTTTTTTGAAATATCCTTTTTGGTACTGTGCTTTCTGCTGCTAGAATCCTGCCCCCTCCCTCCC